CCAATTCAACGAAATTGTTTTCAAAATAGAAAATTTTCCACGCTGACGGTCCTCGTCCAAAGAATGTCGGCAAGTGTGGAGAATTGTTTGATTCCAACTTCTGTGAAGTGATTGCACTGAAACTCTATGGAAATTCTAAACATAGAGCTACACGAAGTTTAAGAGGAGGTTGAGCTAGCTGAAAAAGAATTTTGTAGTATTCGCAGTTCGAGAATCTATGGGATATCCCGGGATAAGATCATGCCCGGTCGTTTTCCATCCAACCCCACGTGAAAACTAGTCGTCTCCTTTGTCTTTTGGCTCCAGTCGCGAATCGTGGCGTAGGTTTATTTCAAAAATGCCGGGCCACCCTTCATTGAATCTCATGGCTGTCATACATGGTTCAGCGTTAAACCTTGAGACGTGTGCCGTGTGTGCCAGATTATTGCATTGAGCCACTTCCGAAATCGCTTTGAAATCAGATCAATTCTTTGGTGAGGATTTCTCCTCATGATCGATAATGTACGTTACATGTTGTAGTTTTGAATTCTCTGCAGTGAATATAGCATGCGATATTATGCAATTGTGTCAGGTTGAGGCAAGCTTTTATCGGGTGAGTGTCATGGAGAAGCACTCACTGAATCCTAGTTTAGTAGGTGTTATGTTCTGGACATTAACTAATGTCTTGTGTATCTTCTCACTCCAATCTTGCAACCTTTCATTCGGGGCACTATGAATAACAAATCGATTCAGCTCCCCAGTCTCCAGTATCCCCTCATTCATGGGAGGCCAGATAGGAACTACCCTAGCCAATCATGCAAGCAATAAATCACGGGCTCCAGTGCCATGCTCGCAATAGCCGTGCTTGTGACAGCCAAATCGTTGGTGTGAATGGTCGAGCGTCTCGCCTACAAAGAGTCTTCGTCAACTAAGAAAGGGAGCTGGTGCGGGGAAGAGCCATGAAGCGGTGGTGTAATTATCAAGAGAGTGAATTTTGCAGGTGAGTTTAACGGGTTAGGGGTTTTGCGAGTTTGTTAGATCTCGTGGAGCCTCATCACAACATGGCTGTTTGCACTTGCATGGAAGTGTCGATTTCTAGTGGGCGACTTTGTCAGCATTGTTCTTGTGTCATCATTTGTCGCTAAATCCTCTCAAAAACTTGATTTGCTTAATACATGCATGTTTTTCCTCACAAGAATACGCAATTTTATCACGTTACATAACATGCATAAACACTCGATTGCTATATGTTCATTTTAATTAAGCTCCGTAATGGAACAGCCCTACCGGCACTAATACCAAGTAAAGTGCTGACACCGGGTTAGAGACAAGACTAAATATAAAACTCACCCCTGCAGAACCCACGACAAACCCTTCAAGGGGCCCAGTCATTCTCTGTTGAAACATCATGGTAAACTCCATCACACTTCAGCCCTATTAGCTCCTCATGCTGCAAAGCAGACGTGATTGCCTTTGCATAACTAGCCCTCCTCACGTTTTGCGAAAGATCTGTTAGGTTCGATCAGAGCCGCTGTCAGCCCTTCAGTGAGCCTTGTAGCATGTAATTCACAATCGGTCGCATCAATGCAAGTCTAAGACGACATACTCTACAGCATCCGGTGAGAACCTTAGCGATACCACATGCATTTTGCAACGGAGGCACTATACTCCACTCTTAACTGCATACGAATAGACGAGAAATTGAAAACAGCAGATTTATCAAGCCTGACGTGCACGTGCGCCGTTGTGGCTATCTTGGGATCATGCATGGCCCTGACCGGCGGCTACTGGAGCGGCTGCGGCCCAAGTGTGCCTTGCGGGCAAATTATGGTTACATAATCCCGGCAAGGTATCCGAGCATGTAATAACCATAAAAGCACATTCGTATTAGACACACTGTGTTATCGACATTTTGTAGTTTGAGATTGAGAAGGGATGTGAAAGCTATCTTTAGATCGCTAATGTGGGACTGGTTCTGGTAGAGGGTCAAAAAATGTGAATCAAACCAACCCCTGATCGCCGAGACGCTTCTGTTGTGCGGTGGTAATTTGCACCGGTAATCATTCGTTTTTGGTCATATGGGATCAGGTCTCCTGGCGGAGTCTCGTCACCCTCATTTTGCTCGTAGCTAGCTTTCTCTTCCTGTACACTCAACATTACAATCGAACACGGTCGTTCTCTCATCTCCAACAGAATAGGTCTACATGTTGGAAAATGCTGCACTGTTTAAGAAGAGGAAAACTTTCGCCTAGCGGTCAACGGGGCGACAGCTCTCGATCGTTGCTACTTTAATTAGTTACTCTAGAACGAATGGGAGCTATGCATGGTACGTTGACCTTGAATATTGATTAGAGGATATCCACAAGCTAGTTTCTCCTTGTGAATCGACTTTGAAGTCTAACGAGTGTCGGAAATCTACAGTTCCTAAGTCCGTTCCTACATATGAGAGACCATGCGTACAGATACGAACGCCCATCCGTACCGTCAAGGCCAATGAATGCATGCACTGCACACAAACTTCAACAAAGCAACTAAGAACAAACGTCAAACCACATAAAAGCCATGTAAATTCACGCCGCACGCACGGTGGATTGGGGAAGTGGGTGATGTTGGATACGCAGGCTTCGACGAGTCGCCGTTGGAGTTCCCAAGTACCCAACGGTGGCAGTGTTCAGTATGTGGGGAGGGGGATGGGGGGCAGCACCAGATGTGGTTGGGTCTTGGGTCTAATTCCAAGGTCGCATTGCGGTGGTTGGAATCTGCCACTATCTGCATCGATGGCATTTCGTCGTGAACGTATGTACAGTACATTGAGAGAAGCTAGTCACAGATAATACCTGGCGTTTAGAAGCGGGCGGGATATCTTCTCAGCTTCACAAAAGCAATACCAAACCATCTCGGGTGGCCTCGCGGTGCGACGGCATCTATAGCCCTCAGATTTCTCTACGGGAGACGCGGGCGGCGGACTCGAGACTGTAGCTCATCCAGCACACCCCTCGTGAAGTTTTGCTGTTTTGGTAGCCGATTCACCTGGCTTCCGCTGCTGAGTGGGGTTTGCATATAGTATCACTCGGACCTGCTAAGCCGAGTTTTTTCGGGATTTGGTTTACACTGGCTGTTGGCTTCTCGTGAGGATTTGGAACGGGTTTAGAGCGGTCCAGGGCTTCAAGTTCTGGGGGCGCGTGTTATGTCTTCTGATGCGACACGTTGGATTTGGCAGCAACTCTTCAACAAAAAATTCGCGCTCGTTACGAGACGCTCCAGAGTTGAGCTTTGGAACTCCTACGGGAACAATTCACTGCTATCTCTAAGTTTTATTTTCGAAATCCGTTCTAAATCCTTACGGGAAGTCAATCACTGCTAATTCTGGGTTGGGAAACGGAGCGGCGTTGAACGTTTGCCATAACAACTGCAGGTGTTTTATGCTAAACCGCAGATTTCTTCGGCCATAGAACGAACGGTTGGAGTTAACATGGGGTTAAGTGGGTGGGGTAGGGTAGGAGGGCAAAAAGAATCCCTTCGACCAGAGTCGAACTGGTGACCAACCGGTGACAATGCTATTACAGCCGGGTGTGATACCAACTACACCACAAAGGGATGTTGATGGAAGTTCGGACGCACAATACATATATAATTGAATAGGAATGTCCTGCAGCACAATTCACTTGCACAAACCACTAATACACGTGATTATGGGTGAGCCATTCTGCATGCTATCGCCACTTCAGTAACACGCATGAAAAAGGTCCCAGAGCAAGCAAACAAATTGGGTAATCGCGCACGACGGGCCATCCACCTTTTTTCTCACTTCTAACAAAGCCAATTCCACGATACGATGGAGTCGGATCCGGTACCGAGTGAGATAAACTAGTTTCTCGTCCATACGCGAGTGAACTCTTGCGATACTACAGTACCAAAAACTCCAGCATTTCTACCCACTCTGTCGCAGTCGTGGCTACGACAGGCTTCAACACAGCGTCAAGGGCAGAGTCGACGGGAAGAGGCCTGTATTACTAGGTCTGTGGGTGTACAGAGAAGCTCAGATGAACGAAACAGGACATATCAAACAGTCCGACCATCCTCTTTGTCGACGCGCACTGCTCGAATGACAACCCATGAACAAGCCCCACCTTCGCATCTCTATCCGTCTCCCACGATACACTCAGCTCCAAGCACGACCACACCGCAGTGTCAGAAAGCGCGCGCGTCTTATCAGCTTCCCGAACCTTGTTTCGGGCCATGTACATGTCTCTTCTTTGATACACGCTTTGTGTGCCATGTTTGTGCGCACAATATATGTAACGCCTACACACGGCCGTGCATTCTCCACCGCTGCGATTCCGATGTATCGACGGATGGCATGTTCAACGAGCGGTATGGGCTATGCAGCCTCACAGTACTTGTCTACTTGTCTACTTGTCTACTTGTCTACTTGTCTACTTCCGGAGAGAAAACAGTAATGTGCAGTGCATACTTTGCCCTTGGGCAGAGCAGACCGCAAAGCCTAATCGCCAGCATATATAGCGTATATCCGACGGCAACAGGACGTTGAGCAAATGGCGCTGGAGCGTGGTGTGGCAATGTCTTGTTATGAGAACAGTCCGTACCGAGACTTCTCACAGCGTCAGTAGATCTAATGCGACATACTCCACGCCCGACAGTGTGCCCATGTGCATGTGCATCTGGGAGCCGTCTCTCTCACTCCCACCCAGCGAACGCAACCCCGAACCACGTACAGCCACAGATATTCCGCGTTGTCTTCCGTCCTTCATCTACCCAGAGTCGACACTACGGATCTACCCAGCTACTGCCATTGCTTAGTCGATTCACGCACGACGCACGACGCACGACGGCAAAAAAACAGACTTGGCGAGGGGAGGACAAACCAAGGTATCGGTGGTACTTCCTCCCGCCCCTCCCTCCCCTCCCCCGCTGCACCAACATCAACAAACTCCCAACTCACCACATCACCACCTCTACCACCATTTATGTCCCTCCATAAACCATTACTCACATCGAAAGTGGTCATAGTATAGTGGTTAGTATAAGTCGTTGTGGCGACACAAGTCCGACTAGACCCAGGTTCGATTCCTGGTGACCACACTTTCTTTTTGTCCCCGCCTCACCCTCACTCATCCTTTTCATCCCTGCTTCACTCATCCTTTTTGTCCCCGCCTCAATCATCCTTTTCATCCCTGCTTCACTCATCCTTTTTTCTACTGGGCGCGGTGATGCAAGGGATGGTGGGGGAAGGGATGGTGAATGTGACTCAGCAATGATGGTGTTTTCTTGTTGATTGATGCATGCTGAACGAGATGAAACGACGAGCGATGGACGTGTGGTTTTTGAGCGCTGTGGGTGGGCTCCTGCAACCAGAATCGACTGCAGATGGAAAACGGCAGGTCTGTGGCTGATGCAGTCACGGTGAACCTGGGTCTGGATGCGGGTCTTGTGTACTACAACGTCTTGTGCTGATGGCTACTATGCTATCCACCACAGATGATTGCTTTTCTCAAGAGCGTAATATAGCCTGACGTTCGTACTTGCAGTGACAGAATCAACGATGCTGTAGCTTGCTTGCACAGCTCGAACTCAAACTTCCCTGATAAAACAGCGCAACTACGATTCCTATGCACACGAACCTTCGAGCTACTTAGACAATAGGAAGAGCGGCGTAGATCTGGGTTGATTGGCACGGCATTGTCCCGCAGAATTGAAAAACATGGTAGTCATTCGGTCTTAATTACGCATTATATCCCATATCGTCTATTCATACACCCCGCCCCAACTACCACACACTACCACCCCCTCTAACAGCACCGACACCCACAACACCCCTCATCCTGCTCCTTCCTCCCATTGTTGCCGTCATCATCACAGCAACAACACCCGCCACAGCACCCACCACAGCTCCAACAATCCCCACCACAATCCCCACAGCACCCATCATCATCATCCCGCTTCTCCCCGCCGCCGCCAGCGCTATAGCTCGGCCCCGACGGCGCTACGTATCCGCCCCCAGTCGCGGGCGGCGAGGACGGGGTGGGCGGGTCGTACGGCTTCGACGTGTCGCCGTACCCCGCGTACGCTGTCGTAGTGTCGGCGTAGTCGCCGGTGTTGGCATACGATCCGTCGTTCTCGTCGTAGTGTTCGTCGTAGTACTCGCCGTTCTCGTCATAGTACTCGCCGTTTTCGTCGTAGTATTCATCGTCGTACTCGCCCTCGCCCTCGCCGTCGAAATCGACGTCGTCGTAGTAATAGTACTCCCCGTCGTCGCCGTAGTAGCCCCACTCGTCGTCCGGCCCGCCGAGCTCGTACTCGCCCTCCGCTGACTCGTGGTGCTCGCCGTATTCGTGCGCGGCGTAGACGGCGCCGCCTGCCAGCGCCGCGCCACCGACAGCTCCGGCTGCGAGGTAGGTTGTGTTTGATGTGTGGGATTGGGTATGGGGGTGTTGTTGTTGCTGCTGTTGGGTGTAGTAGGTGTGTGTTGTGGTGGATGTGTGCGAGGAGGTATTGTGCGGGACTCCCGGTCGTGCGGCGGCGTGGGGGACGGCGTGGGCTGCGCCAGCTGCTACGGGTTTATGTGCCACCGCTCCGGGCACCGGCTTCTTCTGCGCCACACCAGCGGCGGGCTTCGGTGCACCCGGCTTCGCAACGGCCGGCTTCGCAGCTCCCGCCGGCCTTGGCGCGGTCGGTCTCGCTGCCGCGCCTCTTGCACCTGGTGCGCCTCTCGCTCTTGGTGCCGGTCTTCCTCGCGGGGGCACGCCGCGGCCTCGCGGCGGCGCCCGGCCTCGCGGTGCGCCTCCTGCACCTCGAGCTGCTCCTCTTGTTCCTCTTGCGCCTCGAGCTGCGCCGCGACCGCGACCACGAGGGGCACCGGGGGGACGGACGCGGCCTCGACCTGGGGCCCCTCGAGTTGGGGGTGCGCCTCGGGGAGCGGGACCGCCTCGGGTTGGAGGCTTTGTGGCGGGCTTAGCGACGGGCTTTGCGAGTGGTTTTGGAGGCATGTTGTAAATTGGTGTGGATTTTGTGGATTGGTTGTGATGGGGGCGGATAGAGCGTAACGGAGGCGGGAGGAGGGCTGGTATATAAGGCCACCGCGAGAAGGAGACGGTGGAAGAGTTTGACTCCTCCTGCGGCACGCCTGAAGCAGTCAGATTCGCCTGTCCATCTGCCCCCACTGCCCCCACCGTACTCCCTTCGTCCCATTTGTCTTCCTTCTGCGTGGCATGGTGTATGTGTGTGTATGTGTGTGTGTTATTGCTTCTTTCAATATCCCATACTGCTGCCTACAGCCGGCCAGCGCCGAGGCGATGGCTGAATGCAAGGTGTGTAAGCAATCTCGCCTACGTCCAAAACCTAGCCAGTCGCGATGCCGTCTCGTCAGCAGCCGTGCATGCGGCTCACGTGCACATGCAGGCAAGGCTTCGTTAGGGATGATTAGAGTGTAGGGCTGCTGCCTAGCGAGAGTGGCCGCCGACGGGTACTTTTTTGGCAGTTACTGGAGTGAGTAAGCTTGATGTGCGACTTGAAGAGTTTGCAATGTAATTGAATTGCATGCTGCATACACTCTAGAGCGCTCGAAGTAATCAAGTTTTGCTGGGCGGTTCCCGTAACTTTGATGACCCCTATGAGTGTGCACAAGGAAACTTAGAGTAGAGCGCGGGTAAGCATCGGCCTCAGTGTCATCCCGACAATGCATGTTCGATCGCGGCCTGGCCGACATGCAATAAGCTTAATTCACGTGTTTTGTGGCCCTTTTCGTGTCGCTTGTTGCCTTTATTACTATTCATCTAGTCCTTGGATATCCGTTCGGCATGGCTAGAGTCTCGATGTGACCTATTGTGATGTCGATTGAGCAGTTGAGGGTATCTTCGTAAAGTGTATCATCTAGCATCTGTGAGGTCTCCTAAGCTCGCAGCAACTATTTCCACCCAGTCAGTATTCCTTCATCGACTGCCTCTACAGCCTCAAAAGCGTCGACTACCAACGCCTGTAAAACACTCACCACCAACAGTCGCCAGCCACCAAAACTCAGGCATCCACGATCGGCCCCACTGCCGTCGCCCACGCCGCCAACACACAGACATAGCTCTTATGCTTAATCAGACGCCCGCATCGCCAAGCAAGCCAAGACGATAGCCCTATGTCGTGTCGCGTCGCGTCTGGTGCGTGTCAGCGACGTTCGAACCGTAGGTTTGTTTGAGAGAGAGGATGATCGTGGATATTGTGAGGTTGCGTGTGTGAAGTGAAGAGGAAGAGAAGAGGAAGAGAAGAGGAAGAGAAGAGAGGAGCAGAGAGAAGCAGACGAGGGGTAATGAGACTGGACCTGAGCCCACACCAGCAAAATTCAAAATCGAATGATCAGTTGTGCAGATGCGAATCGCTTGGGTGAAAGTGCTGCCGTGTACTCCGAGAATTGTCATTGCCGTTTCCGTTCACTCCCTCACTTGTTTCCAACTGAGCACGTCGAGTACAAAAGTTCACGGCCACGATTCACTATTGAACCGCAATCCACCGGCCTTCCACCCAACAATTCCTATATACAATACATACGTCCGTGCAGGGTAAGCTGCAATAAAGTTATCTGCACGCCTCCAGGATCATCCCAGGCAGGTGCTTTTAAGCATATGTATGCACTGTCAGAACTATGTATGTAAGACTAGGGTGCTGACTCAGTGACCTGCCTGCGCTGCTAGTGCACAAATAGAATTTATTTTGAGATACAGGACGTGTCGCGTGTCAAGTCGCGTCCGGAAAGCTTTGTAGCTTTGTTTTGGCGGGTTGGGTGCGAATAAGGCACCCCTCACGCCGACACCGACGTTAGCCCGTCAACAGTATTGCACAGCTCGTGAACAGCAGCAGTATTAGTGCTTCTCATGAAGGCGTTCCATGGCCAACCAAGCGCAATAATCTCCATTATAATGTTGACGCATACCGACCTCCAAGCATATTACGCCGAGGCAGGAACAACAACACCCTGGAGACGCTCGATTCAAGCTTCTTTTCTTCCCGCCGGCTTGCCCTGCATCCGAAAGACACAAGATCAAAGGCTTCACACCAACTCTATCTCCTGCGGAATACGGCGGTAAGCACTAGCGATTCGAATTCGACACATCTTTGTTTGTTCAGTGGCTTCGTTCTTCCCGAAGCCTTATTTGAGTCAGACGTTAAAACAAACGATGCGCTGATGTGAGCCTTGCTGCAATTCAATTCAAGGCAAGGCAAGATATGCAGTGCAAGGCAACAAGGCAAGGCATGCAGGGCAAGGCAGGTTAAGGCAAGGTCAGGCATGTAGGGCTGATTTGAGGATGCACGCGGATTGAGTTAGGGTCTGCTTCCTGGCAGGGCTGATTTGAGGATGGCGGTGGGTAGGTGTGTTCACGGCATCTCGTCCGATGCATTGACTGTGCGAAGCTGGCCGGAGCAGTATGCGGTGTGGTGTACGGCACATACTATGTGGCCTGTGAGTCCGAATATATAGTTTGGTGCACTGGAGATTCCAGGCCGATTTATGTTGTGGGAAGGTGAAGCGACATGCGGCATCACTCGGGAATCGACGACACAACGACTGTGGTAATGGCGGATACAGAAGGCAGGACATCTGCACCGGCGGTCGTTCGGGGGCTCTGGTCTCATTGATTCTCTTCTCTTTCTTTTCCCGCACACTCATTAACCTGACACGATCATCTTCAACACAATACCACGCCACTTTGTGTGAGTAGCCGCACTGGAAAGCGCGGCGTGCTCATCTTCTACGTCGCGACGGCGGCTGGGTCTGTGGAGATGCATGCGCTGTTGATTACGATTCGCGCGTTGCACGTTGCGTGTTAAGCAGGTGTTTGGGGTGCGGCTTGGGTGATCATGAAACGGCAGGAGCTCTACGAAAATCGATTTCGGTTCTGTGGTATTGACGTTGAGGATACTTCATTCTCCAGTGAGATCAAGGAATTACGATGTGGAGGGGGCGACGAAGGAAGTGGGCGCGCGCCCCGTTGTGTTCACCATCCGTCACGACTCACGTGACATGCCTGGCCGCAATCCGCCACCATGTTGCCACTTGCGTCGAACCCTTTCCATCCAAGATGCTCCTTGCTGTCACT